AACCCAAGGGTCCTAGTTTTACCATAGAGGATGAGCATATAGTGAAATGGGCAAACTGGGAATTTCACTTAAAGCCCGACCCAAGAGCTGGTGTGATTATTTCTCGGGCCATGGTTCGGGACCCGGAAACTAAAGAGTTGAGGAATGTGATGTACAAAGGATTGACATCTGAGTTGTTTGTGCCATATATGGATCCGACTGATGCATGGTACTTTAAGACTTATATGGATGCTGGCGAATACGGGTTCGGACTTCAGGCCATGCCCCTTGAACCGCTCAATGATTGTCCACGGAATGCCTACTATATGGATGGTGTATTCCCATCTGCCGATGGAACACCGTACGTCCGATCCAACATGATTTGTGTGTATGAGAGCTATGCAGGTGATATTGGGTGGCGACATTCGGAGTGTCCAATCACGGGCATGGAGGTAAAATTAGTCAGCTAATACTCTCCAAATTTTATTTATCGATCTAATTTTGCTAAATTAATACATTAGTGCCATTGGTTGATAATATATCACATATTAATCTAATCATACCAATAAACCAGATCAACTATATTATGGTTTATCGCACATCAATGCCAAGTATTACAAAATAAAGATAAAAATGGNACATATTAATCTAATCATACCAATAAACCAGATCAACTATATTATGGTTTATCGCACGTCAATGCCACGTATTACAAAATAAAGATAAAAATGGTAAATATCGTACATGATATTTGAACTTGCGATTATTTTAAAATGATGCTTAATTGTCAGTTATATCAATTTAGTTCTAGATTATATAAATCACAGTAATTAGTTTCATTTTTCCGATTTCTGCATTGAAAGAACTGAAAAAATTTGTGCCACCTGTTTCAATTTGTCCCATAAAGTTTCAATTTATAGTTGTTCCATAATCTTTTATTTTTCCCCATAAATATTTACATTTTTTTTTTGTTTGATTTAACGGATGTATTAGACGAAATGGGTTGATTGTTAGTACTTATATAATTCAAAAATTAAGCCGAGACAAATTTGAAGTTAAAGAACCAAATTGAAACATATATTATATCTTGGAGGTTTTTTTGGGGTAGGGCTTGGGATCATTTACCGTTAGAAAATTAACAATAGAGGTATTGTTGATCAAAATGGTGTTGTTTTTATTAAAAAAATTAATAGCAGGAAGAGTCAGATCCGGTATCTTTGATATTTACCCCAAAATGGGAGGTATGAGAGTAAACAGACCGACTGGGTCATTCATAATCTGATGTCTTTTGTCCAGAGGTTTCTTCCACACACATCAGCATTGGACTTGTTGGCATCTAGTTTGTTGATTGTCTTCTTTCTTTTCATTTTGGCAGATTAGAGAGGTACGCCCGAAAGTGACGTTGGTGGTAAGGATGGCAGCATCAGTCGCAAACTATGACTATATTATGGATTGGGTGTTTCAAACAGATGGAGTAATCAGAATCAAGGTTTGTGATTTATAATTTGCAAGAGTTTGATATGNGGTGGTAAGGATGGCAGCATCAGTCGCAAACTATGACTATATTATGGATTGGGTGTTCCAAACAGATGGAGTAATCAGAATCAAGGTTTGTGATTTATAATTTGCAAGAGTTTTATATGACTATCTTTTGTGATATTGGGCATGTCATGTCATGTCAGTGTCCCAATTTTTTTTTTTTTTTTAAAACAGTAAGTGATGTTCAGGTTTGTTTACATGCATCTCCATGATGTTCACGCCGAAATTAGAGTATTCATGAGGAATTAAATTCTTTATGACGTGATCCTAAGATTCAAACTCAGGACATTTAGATTTACAGTTCATTCTTGATTACCTATTGAGATTATGTCAGTGTCCAATCACCATCTCATAATTCAACATTTTCTCTTCAACAATCGCTCTCAAAAGCATAGAAATATCTTTCGTTTTGATGTATGGTTGATTGCTACATTGTCTTGGTCTCAACTTGGAATTTTCTCCTCAACGAAACGGTTAGATTCTCCTCTACCAGTCCACTTCAATCTATCTGTTGGACACCTATTTTTGCCTCCCAAGATTTTCCTGAAACAAAAACACGTCTTATAAACGTTACAAACTAAAATATGCCATGAAAAGAAAATTGATACAAATGTATTGTAGATACGACAGTTAATACAGAAAACAGAAAACCCAAAAAGCATATTCGTTTGGGTCGTATGCACATCTTGTTTGTTCTTAATTAGCAGTTTCGTTTTGGTCGTGCATTCTAGGATTGGATATTGCCTTGCCTACTAATCATGTCTGATTAAGTGGTATTGTGATAGGTGAAATTTCTCCACTAATTATGTACTTGTAGTGCTGATTTTAGTATATCTGGAACAACAATCACAGGTTGGGCTTAGTGGTATTTTGATGGTGAAAGGCACCCCTTACATGAACATGGACGAAGTGAACCAACAAGAAAACCTCTACGGAACACTTTTGTCCGAGAATGTTATCGGTGTCATCCACGACCACTACATCACATTCTATCTCGACCTGGACGTCGATGGCTCAAATAATTCTTTTGTAAAGGTCAATCTCGAGAGGCAAAGAACCAAACCTGGAGAGTCGCCAAGGAGGAGCTACTTGAAAGCAGAAAGAAATGTGGCTAAGACAGAGAAGGATGCACAGGTTAAGTTGGGTTTGTACGACCCATCAGAGTTCCATGTGATCAACCCATCTAAAAAGACAAGGGTGGGTAACCCAGTTGGGTATAAGGTGGTTCCTGGTGGCACTGCGGCTAGCTTGCTTAGTCATGATGATCCTCCCCAAAAGAGAGGTGCTTTTACAAACAACCAAATTTGGGTCACTCCATATAATGAGACAGAGCAATGGGCCGGTGGCTTGTTTGTTTATCAAAATCAAGGAGAAGACAATCTTGCAGTATGGTCTGAAAGGTGAGAGCCTCTGAACTGAAATTGATTTTCCAATTTTCCTGTCAATCCCTTTTATTTCGTCATTTCATTGGTAATGCGACGAAAACTTGAACATCGTGACACTTCCATTGCAAAAATTTAGAGAGATAGGGTGCACCACATATAGAGATAAACATTGATAGGTCAAAGATACAAACATATTACCAATTAAATTCTGCACCTTTGAAAAAAATTGAGGTTTTTTCCACATAATAGTGTCAACCAAAGACCATAGCATACACTGGAGAATAATCCCTAGTCACTTCGTTGCTCCAAAATCTTTTGACAAACTCCAAACACATGTCCTGTAGTGAAAAATATTTGAAACGAGAGATTTTTCTCCATGGCTATCTAGTGTTGATTGTGGACAACATGACATGACACCATTACTTTCTCAATTCAATGTCCAAAAAGCATGCTTTGAATTTGGGTAACTTGGAAAACATTATGCAAGATTCTAGTTTTTATCAAATTACCTCTGATTGTCACACTGGCTAATAGTCATATGAACACGATGGATGTGCAGGGACCGGCCGATCGAGAACAAGGACATTGTGTTGTGGTACACATTAGGCTTCCATCACATACCATGTCAAGAGGACTTCCCGATCATGCCCACTGTGTCTTCAAGCTTCGATCTAAAACCCGTCAATTTCTTCGAGAGCAATCCAATTCTGGGAATCCCACCTAATGTTGAGAACGATCTGCCAAATTGCAATGCTGCTGCTTCAGTTTGATAGCTAATCAACTGTAGTTTTTTGTTGTAGAATGTATATATGTAAGCATGGAAGAAACTGGAACTTTGGACTGTTTCTAATTCGACGTTTTAATAAATAAATGGTGATTATTGGCTTTCTGCTGTAAAATTGAGATTCTTGATGATGGGAGAGGTAAGTTTGCAGACTGCCATTGTAGTTTCAAACTTATCCGTCAAACTAACGTTCTTTAATGAAAGCGTATTTAAACTAACGTTCTTCCAAAACACACTTCTACAACAAAAGGCAATGATTTGTTAAAGCAGTTGAAACACAGAATTTTCTTCTGTCGTTTAGTAAAGTGTCTGAAATCCTCAAAAGCACCATGTGTATCATGCTCTTGTTGGCTTTATTCTTAGCACGTAATCTGCCCTAGCTGAAAAAGCTAGGATAGAACTGGTTTTGGCATGCAGAAGGGAAGTGCATACACATTCTTAAGCCCATTTAAAAAGCCCTGGATTGGATAACACTGGTGTTGGTATTGCGATAAGAGGTGTCTTCTTCTTCAACACAATGCCAAACTTCTCTGAAACTTCTAACTTCTCTTCCTCCGGCAGTTTCCAGTCGAAAGAATGTAGTAGCGAAGCAAGCGAAAACATCACCATCCTCTCGGCCATTGCTATTCCTGCACAAATTCTCCGGCCAGACCCAAATGGGAAATAATTAAAATCCTTCCCACTGTAATCCCCTTTTCCATCCAAAAACCTTTCTGGACAAAACTCCAATGGGTTCTCCCAAATCGAAGGATCCCTATGTATTGCCCAAACATTCACGAAAACTTGAGACCCTTTTGGAATTGTGTAGCCTCCTACCACACATGGCTCGCTCGGGCAGTGAGGAACCATGAGGGGGAGGACTGGGTGTAGGCGTAGAACCTCTTTCATTACAGCATCTAAGTATGGTAGTTGATGAATGTGAGACTCTTCCACGATATTGTTTTTGCCCACTACTCCAATTCTTCTTGGGCTTTCTTCATGACTTCTGGTTTTTTCATCATCTCAGCCATTGCAAACTCCACTGTGTTTGATGTCGTGTCAGTCCCGCCCACGACCGTATCCTATGCACAGATAAAATTGCACTATGTAAACAAAATCTAACGGAATTGATAAAATTGAAGTTAAGGGTAGTCTTATAATGGATTGAATTTCCGTTCAGATATGATACTATTTTGAATCCCAATTAGTTGAATATGAATTAGTATTTTTGATCGACAATTTGAATCTGAAATCAATTCGGACTATTGAACCGAAAACTACCTATTGGATTTGACTCCAACTTGGGCGCACGGCTTAGCAAAACTTTAAGGGTTCTACTGGTACACATGGACCGTAGAAATAGGAAAACATACCATTAGCAAAGCTTTGAGGTGGATCATGGTCAATGGAGTTTTCGAATCTCCTGCATCCTTCAGCTGCAACAAAACCTGCAGAAAGTCCTTGCTTTCTTTGCTGATAATACCCTGTTTATCCATTTTTATCCTTTGATTAATTACCTTATCGAAAATCCGATCAAACCTCTGGGCCAGTCCCTTCATCTGCTTCCTTATGCCTTGCATATCAAGCCAGGCCAATCCGGGAAAGAAATCCGACACATTAGGCTTCCCCAACAGCCCAGTAACCTCCCCAACCACCTGCCAGAACTCTGCTCCGATTCTAGAACTCTCTTTCTCCTGAACTGTACCACCCCATAACATGCTTGTTATCACATTGAGCACAGTCAAGAACATCTGCTCACCAATATTAACCGGCTGCCCCGCCTGCCAGTACAAGAATCCAATAGTTTTTCTGATTTCTTGTCGTCGGAGGGTGTAAACAGCATCTAGAGTCGAGCTTCCGAGCATGTCACGAACACAGACCTTCCTCAGCATTCTCCACTCGGATCCATATGGTGTGAATACTATGTCACGGCCACCATATTCTATTGCTGTGATGACATGGGGTACATCCCGGTTGGCGAAGATGGTGTCGTGGTCCTTGAGCACCTCGCGCGCTATTGCAGGCGAGGTGACCACAATGCTTACTTTAGAACCTAGCCGGAGTGTATGGATCAGACCATAGGTCCGAGCCATGCTGGCGAAGTAGGAGTGGAGCTCCGGGTCAAGGGACAGGAGGTTTCCGACCATTGGAAGGCCTTGCGGACCCGGCGGCAAAGGTAGACACTTACCNGACATGGGGTACATCCCGGTTGGCGAAGATGGTGTCGTGGTCCTTGAGCACCTCGCGTGCTATTGCAGGCGAGGTGACCACAATGCTTACTTTAGAACCTAGCCGGAGTGTAAGGATCGGACCATAGGTCCGAGCCATGCTGGCGAAGTAGGAGTGGAGCTCCAGGTCAAGGGACAGGAGGTTTCCGACCATTGGAAGGCCTTGCGGACCCGGCGGCAAAGGTAGACACTTACCCTTTTTTAAATTATTGATGAACATCCATACATACCACAACACGGTGATGACAAGAAGGTGACGGTGAGAAGATTCCGGGGCAGTTCGTTCTTGATGTCGTGGCCCTGCCATGGCCGCCACGGCAACCAAGCGCCACAGACGGTGTTGCTTATTTTCTGAAGCAGATGGAAGATGAGTGTCATGGTATGTGACAAAGGGTAAAAGATGGATTGGATGGTTATATGTAATAGAATACAGACGTTAAGATTGAGAATCTTTGCTTATTAAATTGTCGTGATGATTTATTGTTCTGTTTTGTCAAGGTGCCCCATCCAGGTTTCTTGTCGGCTCTGTTTGAAATTGATTCTGCGTGGTGCCTCCGACTTCGAGTTGGTGGTAGGCGCAATCAATTCTTCAAAATTTTAAATTAGTCATATTACTCGATCTATTCCTCCTAAATTTTCATTTATGAGTAAACTAAATGTATGGCATTCTCAGAGTACTAGGTAAGATAATCTTGGCCACGCATTGATTAATCCTCTCTCCAGTCTAGTTAAAAACATACCATTCATATTGAGATAAAAATATTTATGAAAAATAAATCTCTCATGACACAGAGCCAAGAAATTATTAAGAGACATTTGAATGTATAGTTCATTCTTGTCACTACTTGAACTACCCGAGGTTGAGGGTATTCTTTTCTTCAACACTATCCCATACTTCTCCGATGGGTCTAATTTCTCTCCTTTGGGAAGTTCCCCGAGTCAAAATAATGATCAATGAAGATGTACCCAACCCTGCACCAATTCAATGCTACCCAAACTTCTATGAGAGGTCTAAGTACTCTTTGAGATTACCCAACCCTGCACTAATTCAACAATGTAGAGTTTGGTCCAATAAGAAAAGCAAAGCTACTTGACCGTCGTACTTCCTTCATTTACCGCGAGAAATGAATGAAAGTAACAATATACTACAATGTAATACTGAATTGAAGACTCAAACATTCATTCCGTCCGATCCTCATATATGGACTTCCGAGATGGATAATTGGGATTCAGTCAAAAGGACATGCAGTGAAACCATGTTTAGGCACTCAATTGTAACATGAAGGTCCAACTTCAGAAAAAATCAATGGGTCAAACCCATGTAAGCTTATAGCCATGAATGAGAACACAATTCACGGATATGCAACTCAACAAAAAAGGATCAAATGACAGTGTGCAAAAGTAAAAGACATAGCATGCAACCCATTTTGAAAACAGTGAGAGTCAGCTTATTCGCACTGCAAAACTTTCCTAGTGTCACTTCAACTGGCAATGAGTATGCACAGAATGTCTTTAAGAAACCTCCTTATAGGTAGCCTAATTATCTGCTAACCTCAGTTGGTGCCTCATTCGGCGAGCACAGTCTGAAAAATTTTTAACCAGATGGGCACATTTTAGAGGGTCCTTGACATGCTCCTTGTAGCACTCCAAGCAAGCATCTTTCTCAGCCAAGCAGAGCATTGGTTTCTGGTATGGAAGTTTGAACTCTTTATCATGGAGATCTTTGGCTCTCTGTGTTACTTCTTGCAGCATCTCATCTTCTCGCTTCTGCAGCCTTGCCACAACCTTCTCACTCTCTTGAAGGACAGACTGGATGGCATCTAGCTCAGCATTAGCAGATTGTTGTGGAGTAGGAACTGGAAGGAATAATGGAGGCTGAAGTGGCCATCCTGCAGAAGCAGGCCTTTTAAGCGTCTCAGAATCATTGGGAATCAGTTTCTGTTGTGGTTTAGTTTTGGACTGTTGGGTTTCCCTTGGTATCTTCGTTTTTTGTTTTCTTATTTTCTTCTTTGACTTCTCACCGTCATCCGCGAGCTGCTTCACTAAGTTGCTGCTAATCTGAATTGTAAATGATTCACCCATGATACAACAGCTCCAGACAAATTACCTGAAAACATCCATTATGGTAATCCAACAATGTCAAATTAGCAGAAATCTAAGGTCAAATGCAAGTTGTGCATTTCAATAGCATCATGCAACAAGAGTATGGATCCAGAAGGGGGAAAACGCAGTGGGAAGAGGGAGTTGAGGTGGTGTTTGAGGCCTCCTGATGAGCCAATACTAGCATATCAAGCTCAAAGTCATGCAAAGGGATATTTTGTGCAAGTCGGCAAAATAGGTGGCTATCCTAAATCTTAAGTTGCTAGAAGCAGCACGCACTTCTTGGGGGAGGAATCTCCCCAGGTTGTGTGTGAATTCACATTTGACCATTGCAATCCAATAAGCAACAAGATCATTTCAGGGAACTACAGATTGACATATGATGGACTTGCACGATGAGAATCCTATCCAGAAGGAGAGGTAACAAAACGCACAGCCTAGAATTTGCTTCCTGAGTTGGATTAACCAAGACCAGTGCATTTAGATAGGCAGGAAGAGTAATTGAGTAGGCAAACCGTGATTATCATGACATAGATAAGATTTTCAACAGAGAAGAGATCCACATAGCTGACTGTGATTTAATCCCAAAAATTCTGGTGGAAGAATTAATAAGCATTTATAAACTGTATCACTTGTTGGGATGTCAATGGATCGAAGCGGGGGCGAGGGGTATAGTCTTCATTCCCGTACCCGTTTAAAAAATCTTCGTCCATCCCCGGTTCACCCCCGCTAACGGGTATAATTTTCATCCCTATCTCCGTCCGTAAGTAAATTTATAATCCCCGTCCCCGTCCCCATCCCCGCTTCTCCCGTACCCGCCCAAGCCCAAGCATAAGCTCAAGCCCAAGCCCAAGTTCAAGTCAACATAATCCAAAATTCTAAAAATTAAAAATAGCTTAATTTTTTATTTTTTTTGCTATGATCAAGAATAGAAGAGGTAACAATATAAAAAAGTGTGGTAAATGATAACTCTAACTGAAGATCTCTAAATCCAATAAACATCCTAATGTTTTAATAAATCCAATACTCCAACAGCACTAAAGAAACACATCAGGAGCAACATTGACAACAAAACAATAGCACCTCTAACATAATCACAACAACAAAACAGCCCTAGAAAAATAACACCAGAAGCAGCCCCAAAACAGCACCAGAAATAGCCTAGAAACACCACCAAAATGCACATTAAACCAACCCAGGGCTGCTGCTCTATTTCTTTTGTTTCTCTGTTTCCCTTCTACAATACACGACAAAACCAAGGCTGCCAGATAGTCACACCCCTTTTAAATTAACTATCCTGTGTTCCCTCCAACCTTGTTACTACAAATCATTGCATTGTCACATCTTATTCTATCCTTTGACCTGTCTCTAAAATCTAAATCTAGAATTGGGTAAGGAGAATCAAAACTATTCTTCAATCTAAATTCTAAAAGCAACAATGCAATTGTCATATGAGACTGAAGCAACAGGAGCACAAAGGAGGTCCCAGTTGAAAAAATGTGGCAGTGACTCGATGTATCAAAAGATAAATACTTCACTATGAACAAGAAATGGATCACAAGATGATATCAAGGAAGCACAAATATTGTAATTTTGAGTCACAAAACTAACCAACAGAGAATCAAAACAAAGGGTTTTAATTGAGAGTTTATATATATATATATAACGGGTAACGGGGATGGGGATGGGGATGGGGCTGGGGTAAGGGTAAGTCCATCCACGCCTTCATTCCCGCACGGATTTATATGGGTATCTCCGTATACGTCCACCGTCCAATATGTACAGTCCATCTCTGGTCCAAACGGGACGGATTTGGACGAATACCCGTTTTTCTCCGGTCTACTGTCATCCCTAATCACTTGCCTCTCAAAGACCCTAACTGAATTTGGACGTGAAAGTAAATGAAGACCAAGTTGACACAGCAATTTTAGCTTGCTAACTACAATCAAAAGTCACCAGATGGCTACAATTTTTTATGCCAACATGATGTATGAATCCTATAACTTGCCTCTGAAGGAAAGATAGGCAGGGTCAGACACATTCACCATGACCAAATAGTTTTCTGGCCTAAAATTAAAGTATCTAATGGCCATCCGGCATAGCTAAAGAAGGTGCATCAAATTAAGTAAGAGTGAAGACACCAATTTCTAATAGAATGCAGTGATTGAGTCTAAGAAATAGAGTATCCTACAGCTACATCAATTTATATTGAAGGTGCATCAATATTAGTAGCTATACATATCTTATCCAAAAAAAAAAATTAGTAGCTGTATCGGCTGTAACACTGTTGTGGATGGGGTATTCATCGTGCAAATTGCAAAACAGATCCAGAGGTGGCTTATTGGGCTATTTTTACGCGTTATACAAGGCACTACATGTCAAGGCTTCAAGTATGAAAGCAAAGAACAGGATAATCGAAGCAAGGCAAAAGAAAAGAGGTCTGCAATGAATTCTAAATTGCTAATCACGATTTTTGGGTTGATCCATGAAAAGGTGAACAAGACACAGTAATATTGATTCTGTGAATGGAGAAAAACTTCTTAAAAAGCTTCATACTCAACTCAGTGCACTAGAATCAGACAAGAACTGGCTTTAACATCTCATCATAATTGGAAGACGCTAGAGCACACAATTTCTAGTTTCTACAGAGCTACCCAATTTTCAAAAATTTAAAAACAAAACAAAACCTGATCTCTAGCTATACCTTCTGGACTCAAGTATCTATGACACAAAACTGAGGATACCACTACTGGAGCTGCTGGTCATAGTATCAAATTCAAATGTGCATAACCCAGAGGAAGCATGAAAAAGAAAGGCATGTGCATGAAAAAGAAGGCAAGTGAAATCAAGAAACTAAACAGATGAATGGTAGCAATACTTCTGCAATTCTAAAGTCCTGATGCATTCTGCAACAAATTTAGTCCAATTGGGCCAAGATAATCCGTTCAGTAAATTTTTTGCTCGACTCCTTGATAATTCCCAAATTAAAACCAACCTAAACATCAATGGCTAGATCAAAACAACATGGAGATCTGGAAACAATATTTCTGCAATGCTAAAGTTCTGATGCATTCTGCAACAAATCTAATCCAATTGGAACAAGATACGTAGTTCAGTATATTTTTCGCTCTACTCCTTCACAATTCCCAAATTAAATCCAACCTAAACATCAATGGCTAGATTAAAATAACATGGAGAGTTAGAAATTCTAGGTGTAACACGAAACTAACAAGCTAACAATCAATCGATAAGCAATTTGTTAGCAAAACAAGCCGGAATAAACCCAAATTTTTCTTTCCCCATATATTCAAACAAGCAGCAGATTTAGCACATAGATTCAAGATATTCGTTTATAAAACATCATTCTCGACAAAAGAATAGGGAATTAGGAAATATGAGACATGATTGAATGATTAACCTGAAGGAGAAGTGTTACTTGGTCAGAAGGCAGGGCTTGCGCTCCTCTAGCGGTGGCAGCCCGAAGAAGGAGAGGGGTTGCTATGTTAATTTATTGGTTTTTTCGGGGTTGCTGCGTGATTACGGAGAAAATTTTCCAAGAAGAAATAACTTGACTCAGGCACAATTATGGCTGGCCATGGGCTTAATCCGGGCCAGACATAAAAGGACGGATTCCTGGCCTGGTTCCCCCCAGCCCAGGCCATGCCTCGGGCCAGTTTGTAAATTTCTTGTTAATTTTAGATAATTTTTTTTTAATCATAAGGGAGATGCACCAAAAAAAAAAAAAATGAAAATTGTTTCAATTCGAGGATTTTTGGGCCAACATTTATGGTCCATGCTAGTTAGGGCCAATTTTATTTGGCCATGGTAACAAAGATTGACCAATTCATCGGCCCACGGGCATCCTTACGGGCTACAGATGTGAACACAATAAGAAGAATTTCTAGAGCAAAGCTAGAACAAACAAAATTTAGGATTAGATATATGGCCCAAATGATGTGATAAAGCCATACAACAAAATTATTGGGCCTGGCCCCCTTATTTGTTGGGCAGGAGGATGTCACATTGGGCCTCAAAATTCAATTTAAAATTTTGTTCCCAGTACCATTGTTGGTATCTTTAAGTAATTTCTTAAATAATTTTGTAAAAAAATTATCGACATTATAGCAAGAAGATGACACAACAAAATGATTTTCTTTTTCTTTTTTTCAATTTATAAATCCATTGGCTCTTTTTTTTCCTCCCTTCAACATGTGTAAAGAGAGACAATTCAAAAGAGATGAGATGGTTGAGATAAAAAGCTTTTTTTCGAGAAGGCCCATTAAACAATTACCAACACCCCAAGTTCTCTCTTTTTCCTGTTTCTGATCGAGTTTGGTAGAAGTCGGTATGTTCCTTTTCCCCATGCAACTTGTTGCAATTAACCTATTTTCATACTGGTTCAGGTTATATGAGTTTTGGTGGTCTTCAAGAACGACATAGAGTAACAACAAAGGGGATAGTTTAGTGGTAACTTAATCACATGACAAACATTTTTACTAGGTGTAAATTAAGGTTCTGACTATCCCACAAGTGAGTCTATATTTTGGGGCGATTGCCCTCCGATTTACCCGTGTCTAATTAAGCTACTTTACATAAGATCCGTTATTAATCTGGTGAATTCACTGAATAATTGAGACGATAAATAACCAAACAATTTTAATGTTATCTTTTATCAAACATATACATTGTCCATTTAAATTAAAAAAAAAAAAAGAAACCCCAGCATCAAATGATTGAAACTTCCACTTAGAAGTATCCAATCTTTAATTTGTAGGGCTAGGCTGGCCACTAATCACAATGGGATTGTGAGGATCTTAGAGTTGTGGATGTGGTCTCCTCATCATGCCTTCTTTTGCTCACTTCCTACTAATTATTGATCTAGATGGCTCATCTCCTTCTGCAGCTTTTCCCAATGGAAATGGAGGTCAGGCTAGCGATAACCTATTTTGAATATGATGGAAATTGAATTCCCGACTCTAAATCTTACACACTTTTATTTTTCTTGAGTCCACTTTTCGTCATCAACCAAAATATATAGCAACATCGATAATAAACTATATAGACTTGATTATAAGGGGCCGTATTAAGAATGTTTCTAATGGGAACATGAATGATGTCTCGACATCTATCACATTCATACTAATCTTTAATTAATACAACCCGAGCACAACTATAACCACTTCATACCCGAGGGACAGCCAAGCAGCAATCCATTAGTGGATTAAAAGCTGGAGTCAAGTTTTTAATCGGATCGGGTGGGAGGAGTGCTCTCTTTAATCAGAATCTTATCATTAGCACCACTAAGCACTAATGCTTCTGGCATACAAATATAGTTGAGAGATCATATGATTGAGATTTATGACTTAAAGTGGAAGGAGTTTAGTGCCAAAAGTCCAGCTGAGAACAAGGAACTAGATAACAGTTGGCCAATCTCGTTTCCCCCACAATGGCACCGGGTTCAAGTGATGGTACGAATATGTGATTAAAATATTTATTAATAATCTCCCTCATGTTTGGTCTTTCTTGAACTATCCGTCCATATGTGATTATATTGTATAGTAGGGGAGGTGATGTTGTGGTTTGAATTCAATACCTATTTGGACATAAAATATTAAATCTTATGAATATTCGATGTATTGACATCTAATAATCTAGATGTATTAAAAAAATACAAAATGATATAATCTGAAGAAAGATGAGAGATGATCAACCGTAGCCATGTTTGACAAGAGAAAAAAGTAACTGGAGGTTATTACCTAGTAATCGTCGATAGAACCAACACCATCGAAGACAATGTCTATAAAAGAGCATGTATTAGGGAAGATGAGATACACTCAAACCTCCACAATTCCCGTTGGAATCAAAGTTGTTTATTCAAATTTTATGTAATAAAAGTCACTTCGATTGAATTAATAAAAGCATCATTTTTTATAAGTTCTCTAGACTATGTGTTTATCCATTAATTTCATCTAAGAAAGTCATGGAACAAAGCATTTGAACCCCTCATAAACATTGTTTGGAAATTATCTATCGATTAAAATTTTTCCATTGATTTCAATAGATTTTGGTACAACAATAACTCAACTTCCATAAGAAGTTTAGATGCTCTGAAAACTAACAAATTAATTTACAAAAACACGAAAGAGAACTTTTTGTTTATTGACTACCACATAAATACATAGATACAAAAGTTTCATATATATTCACAAGACCACTGTAACTTTTTTTGCTGCCCCTATCTTACAAAGGAGTACAACTGCTCTTTAGGAAACCTATCACCTTCTAAAGATTGCAGTTTGGTATCATTCTCCGGTTGGTGAGAAACCTGGGAAGAAACAAGGTTTCTTTTCCACCCTCCAAGAGTATTCTTTAACATAAAAAAGATATAAACATCACTGAGAACCTAATTTGACCCAGACATGATACTTTTGTAACATGGGCACTGGAGAAGCTAAACACTTTTCTCTCTCATTCCACCATTGGAAATATCACTGCTTGTTGCCCATCTCTATAGGGTTTAACATGTCCATTTCCATATCATTGAAACAATCAAACCCAAAATCATGAATCCCAAAATCCTGACAATCCAATAGCCAATTCTCGGTCCACGACGCCATGCCATCACCATCGAAGTTCTGTCCAGAAGGTGGAAACTCCCATGGTGCATCAACTAGCAGAGCTTGATCATCCTCCAATAAACAACTCACCAATGGAAAATCGTCGTAAATGCTATCGAGTAAATGGGATTCATCGCTTGAACAATTTTCAGTTGGTGAGCTTGAGTTCTCCTCGGAGCTGGCAGTGCCATTAGTTTCTGGTAATTGCACATGATGGTTTTCGGATTCTGGAGAATTATCGGCATGAGATGTCTCGGTTGCCTTATTTTCCTTGGGGAGGGGTTCATGTGTAATAGGATCAATACCCATCTTAAGAAGCTTTTTCTTTATATGAGTGTTCCAGTGGTTTTTGATCTCATTATCAGTCCTTCCAGGCAATCTTGCTGCGATCTTGGACCATCTGTTAAAGAACAAACAAAACAATTATTACACCATAAGATAACAAAAAATTCTTTCAAAACCCACTAGTCAGAGTGTCTGATGATCAAAGTATTCAGACAAATTTATGCATATCTCGATTAATTTTCTTCTTAATCTGAAAAAATACAAGTCATTCACACTAAAACTAAAATATTCATGAGAGATGGTCTGACCAGGGTTAAATACTTTCAAAAACTACTCAAGAAACTAATTGGACTAATTAATATGGTTACTAATCTAATGATGGTTGGCAGAGTGAATGAACACTTGAATCTCAGGCCAAATAATTGCTCTAATAAACNATGGTTACTAATCTAATGATGGTTGGCAGAGTGAATGAACACTTGAATCTCAGGCCAAATAATTGCTCTAATAAACAATCAATTGTTTGACAAAAATCCAAACAAGCATGTCGTCCATTAGTGGAATAGAAAATTATATTACCACATGCAATTAAAGAATGAAGAAAAGAAACGTAAAACCAAAGGAGTGAACAATATCCCATTGAACTTAAAACGAAACAAATAAGCAGAAATACATATTTTTTTGAAATTGAAGAGGTATTATCTTAGGTAAAACTTAGTTTCATTAATCTAAAAGTTATATACACAACATAATTAGGATATGTTAAAAGGCTCCTCGTATTTTTTGGGCCAATTTCACCTCAAATAAGCTCCTCTCCTATCAGTTCAAAGACAAATTATTCATGTTAGAACTAAAGTATTCATAAAGAATAAATTTTTTATGGTCTAACCTCAAAGACTCCTCATGTTATACTCTCAAAAAAGTAACTAGGATACAAAACAATTCGACCTGGAGGAGAATACTTGAAATCCAAGCAAGAGGTATAACGAAAGCCGCTATATTTGAAGATATGCACCTTATTTCTATTAGCTTGATTACATGCCACCATCTAGCCTTATGCACACCCATGAAAAAAAAAAAAAAGTCCACATGCCACATCCATAACATTTCTTTTTTTAGGGTTGAATTGTAACTTCGGACGTTAATTAAAAAGCATACAGTAGCATGCACTCGTTTTTCAATGTTTTTAATGGAAAAAAATTGAAGAGCATTTTTCGTGTTTTGTTAGCATTGGCATGAAGCATACCTGTCCATGTAAAACTTTCACCAAACACCAATAATTTTTGTTTACCATTAATGAATTGGTATTTTAAAATGCACAAAAAGCTACCTGATGTATCCAATAATTACAATACAAATGGATGAGAGAGAATAACCTGTTGCCAAGCCGGGCATGGAGGTCAATCACCAGTTGTTCTTCAACCTCCGTGAGAAGGCCTCTCTTCAAGTCAGGGCGGAGGTAATTAGTCCAGCGAAGCCGGCAGCTCTTCCCACACCGCCGTAGACCCGCCAGCTTTGGGACGGCGCGCCAGCAACATTGGCCATTTGTGAGGATAAAGTTAATAAGCTTCTTGTCCTCCTCCGCTGTCCACGGCCCTTTCTTCACCCCGAGTTTGTCACAGCAAGGTTGTCTTCCCATCACTACCACTACCACTACCACCAACACACAAGTCTCCAATAAAACTTGCCAACAACTCCAAACTCACTCACCCACCTTTATATATCACCAAACTTTATGTAAAGGTCTCACCTTCCTCCTCCTCCAATATTTTTTTNGTCTTCCCATCACTACCACTACCACTACCACCAACACACAAGTCTCCAATAAAACTTGCCAACAACTCCAAACTCACTCACCCACCTTTATATATCACCAAACTTTATGTAAAGGTCTCACCTTCCTCCTCCTCCAATATTTTTTTCATATATATATATATGGAGTGAGAGAGAGTGGTTTTAGGACCCACCATTTGTTTTTGAAAGGTACCCATGAACTAAAATCCTGTTGTGGTGTTATTTGAATTCACAGGGTGGTGAAAGTGAATGATGGGGTGACCTAAAGACAAAGCTATAACTCTTACATATATACCAAAAATTTTCTTCCCATTTTCCTACACAATCCACTCTGTGATTGCACTCTTACTCAACCATTCCGTCATCCATTTCGTCATCACCACGTTTACGCGTACGTGTCCATACAATAAAATGTAATCCTGTGCTCTGATAATTGTGCAGACTTTGATTGCATAAGCCACCCCTACCGTTTGATCTAAGGACAGATAAACTTCTGGGATATGCTTAATCTCGTGTCCATTAATCTCGTAGATAGAATTCACCCTTAAAAATCGACTTATACACAGAGGAAGAGTGCTCAAAAGCTCGTTCTTATATATACATACACACCACGTCCTTCCTTTAGCTTAGCTGCCCCTAAAAATACTAGGAAGATTGTACTTATAGTTGCCAATGTGTAGCGGGTGAAAGTCTCCGTAAGGACAATTCAATTAGGCATGGGTTCAACTCATAAGGGGAGAGTGGAATGCATAAAATTTGATGTGATCTGTATGCAATTTCTGTGAGATCGATCATTTCTATTGAAATTGCGTCTTTTGAAAGTACCAAAAAAAGAATATCCTAAGAAAATATACGTCGATTGAGCTCATAATAATTTATGAATTTGTTTATTGGGTTACTTACCAACTTCGGGTGAGGGATCTTCCTGAAAAAGTCACATATAGTAGGGTATTAATATTAGCTCAATACTTCAACATTGCCCACCCTCATACGTTTGTGTCCATACCACACAGAAACAAACTAGAAATAATGGTTTAATATATCTTTGACACGGACCACACATACTTTCATAGGTAATCCTCAGAAGTACCATCAAATTTCTCACAACTTTATCTTAATTCCAGATTGTTCTACTGTAATTATTTTCCAGGTTAGCTAATCTGGTTAGAGAACAAACTTACTTATAATCATTGATTATAGGTTTCTGTGAATCCTCATCGGATTGTTCCGAGAATGGTACAAGTTTCTTGAGTCAAACTTCATTACCCCCTCCCCCCAATAGTTTATAAATTGTCATTTGGATACCAATCTTATTACATTATATTATCTATCAGAGCCCATTGCGGGCAGGTATAAATCCAAATGTTTGGTCTTTGACTTGGAGCTCTGAGCTTAGGTGGGTATTGTTCAATGTGGACCCCTTTTCTACAACTGTGCATCATGTTATGACTAATTAGGTGGTCACAAGTACAAACCTTAGATTTTTCGATATCATTTAGACTACCCTTTAGTTCATTACTTAAGAGAAATTAATTGTCATCATAGTCGAATAGTCAAAACAAATTCATTCAAGTTATTGAACATCCTACCATTAAACAAGACGAAAGAGGTCCATCTATGAAACATTAGGGTTCAATGAGGTTGTAAACTGGCCACCTGGCTAAATTCCCCAGCATCGGTTTTCCTATATTAATGATGACAGATGTTGAAAAACAAGTGAGAGTTATCAAATGACTTTTAAGGCACTGCATTTATAATCTTACTTGTGTTTTCATTGTAATTTTTTCCTCTATCACTTTCATATATACATAAAATAGGAAAATAGTTTACGAGACTTTCGTCACTGCGGAGTTTAAGATAGGTTAGATATGTACATAGTATTACCTTTTGCATGCGAAAGGGTTGTTTCTACAATTTGAAACTTTAACATTTAGGTTACAATAAAACAATTTTATTTTTGTGCCAACACTCACATTCACTTTCTTATATACACGTTAGTCCATTTTGTTAAGTATATACTTTCCCCATAGGGAAAGGCAAGGGGTGGGATGTTTCATTTGTGTAGTATATACACAAATCAATAGTTGTAATTATCAAGTCTAATTTTTAAATCTATTTTTTAAGTCATCTAGCATTACTCCAGTATAATACTTGACCAGTCACATTGAAGTCCTTGCATGTAAGAATACCACCAGGGTGACCCATATAATAAGTAGAGTTGTAATGGGTCATGTCGTGTTGAATTTAAATCGCATTATTTCAAAATTTTCTCAACTCTAATTGGGTATTGTCGAGTTGGTACCTTGAATAAGCTTTGTTTAAACTAGTTTATATAGTGTTTTCGAACTGTTTTCAACTGCATACCAACCCATTGTTTGACGAGACATGCGGATCAACACATTTGCCAACCAAACTTGTTAAAATTAAACCTCAATCAATAAATTCTTTGGCAATTTTATATAAGGTTTGTGAATCATGTAAGCACGACAAGTTGTTTGACAAATAACTCATTCAAAACTTATGAGAATTCATCCAAATATAAATGGACCTAACACTTGAATTGTATGGTGACGAAGCTAAAGGAGGCATTGCTTGCAAGGTTGGACCTGTCGGGTTTAAGTTCAGCCATTATTGTAGCAGTTGTGAGTTCATGGTCCAAACTAATTCACATTTCACTATACCTTACATATTGGTTTTCCTCTTATTCTGGTTTACATTTCTCTCTCTTCACCTTTGTATTATTGTCGAAGTATTTCTTGATATATATGGTTGGAGGATTTCCAAGTAACATGTAATTGTTGACAGATATGTTGATACATGTTTTAGATTGTTGATAATTGTTGGCAGTTAAGCTCATCTGTTATGTTTTAGATTCAAGTTTAAGAATCAACTTCTTCAAAATAAGATAAGATTTCTCTATCAAACCCTACTATAGACGGGAATCTTTTACACTAGGTACCATTCCTTGTCTTTCAGTGGAGAGGTGTTGACATGAGTTATGACTTATGATTCTGCCGTTATCTTATCACTAAATCTGATGGATTCAACTATGCTTCAATGGAAATTTCCTATTAATAGGTTTCAATATTCAAAAATTAGGTAATAGCTTGGCCATGAAATTTCTATGGTAGATATAATGTCCATCACTATTGCATTACATGCAGTGGTTTCTGCCGCCGCAGGTTTTAGGAAAAATCAAATGTGTGCAGTTTTACTATCGTATGAGAAACCGATTTTTGTGATTTAAACACAAATCCTTTTTGTTTAGATCCGGGGGGGGAGTTCTCGCTCTTTCACCTTGTAAACTCGGTATAACAGAGGTTAAAAGGTGCGAACGGTTTCGCACCTACTTGTTAAGGCTCTCGTCATAAGACAGCTGGCCAATACGAAGGATTTACTTAGGCGCAATAGTTTGTTTGAAAATTTATTTTCATGATTTAAATCTATGACGTTCAAATCATGGCCTCATAGAAAAGGGAAGTGAAAACACAATTTAGATATATTGCTTCTCTCAGTCAAAAACCTTATAATCCTTTTCGTTAATTTAACGCCCTGTAAACATCACTCTCCTCCCACACATTCTCCCACTCATGGTGATGATGAATATCTTAAAACGACATTGCATAAAACACCATTAAGCACACCTTAAAAGCGACTCCTGAGCTAACAACTCATGATTGATGATGTTGGGGGTACATATTTTCCACAAAACATTAACATCATTTTTTGTGTGTGACAAGGTCATCAATTGTTAATATTTTAACAATGACGTATGTACGAAGATATGATGTAATATAGAATCTGAGTGCCTAAAAAATCAATTATACTATATAAAATGTTATTTTGACCTAAAATTTGACTGGATAATGTGTCTTCATTAGAAGTATTGGATGAATAGCAAATTCCAATATTAGACGGGGCTCANCATAAAACACCATTAAGCACACCTTAAAAGCGACTCCTGAGCTAACAACTCATGATTTATGATGTTGGGTGTATATATTTTCCACAAAACATTAACATCATTTTTTGTGTGTGACAAGGTCATCAATTGTTAATATTTTAACAATGACGTATGTATGAAGATATGATGTAATATAGAATCTGAGCGCCTAAAAAATCAATTATACTATATAAAATGTTATTTTGACCTAAAATTTGACTAGATGATGTGTCTTCATTAGAAGTATTGGATGAATAGCAAATTCCAATATTAGACGGGGCTCAATCAATCTAAAGGTTAAAATGAATCAGGTCAACAAATGAAATCATATTTTTATGTCCAAAATAGCATTACTTTATAAAATAACTATGTCCTTTTCTTTCTTTAATTGTATTTAAAATTAATTTATATCCATTACTTTTTTAAAACAAAAATTGATAAAATTTTCTCAAAATAAATAACTTCTAAAAAATATAAGTATGTGTATAATATCATATATGAATATTATTTGAAATAAAAATATTAAGTCAAAAATTAATCAAAAACTAAATAATTCAACTTACGATAAAAATACGGAATGTGATAGGAATGAAGGGAAAAATATGTGAAGACAAAATTTAAATGTATATCTTCCTTGTTATATAGATAATAGAGCCATAATGACGTAATTTGTGAGTAAAGAAATCGTCATTAAAGTAAACTTTATAACAAGTTAAGCAAATTCAATAGAAGCTTGTGGGGAGACTGAATAGCCATGGAATCCAATTGTCTTCTCTCAACCAATTCCCTTTTGCAATGTGAACACTTCGGCAGGGCTTTGTCGGCCCACTGAAGATCTAAAAAACAAATGGGTGTTCAATTGGAGGTCAGACTTTTGCTAAGAATTTAAACGTGGTCCAATGATCAACTGCGTAATTAGTGGTTCAATGACGAGACCATCAATCTTAAGTTTTAGATCCTCTCCGATAT